GATGGCTCAAAGTGAAACCCAGGTTAGGTGGTTTATACCCATTGTGGACTTCCCCCGTTTGTCTAGGACATCATGGTGTTTGTGCCATTGAACCTTTGCAACCACTGTAGTAGGTTAAGGTGATTTGCTTTTCAGTGAGGATGACTTGACGCCGGAAGAAGAGCAGTGGCAGAAGGAGCCACACTCTCTTGGGAGCTCAGTGGGTCAGGTCGTGGACTAGCGCCGGAGGTGGGGGAACCGGTCTTCACCAGAGAGTCCTTTGGAACACAGATCCCTTTTTTGTTTGGTGGAGAGTAGCAACATGTAGCAACCAATTGTTTGATGTCTTCACCACTTCTGGATTGCGAAAGAAGCACACCAACACACAAATTGAGGCAGAGCAATACGGAACGTGGATGAGCATAGTGTTTGGGCTCATTAAATGAGCATAATTTGGAGCCCTGGTCCATGATATGTTAGGAACACTCCAAGCACAAAGAAGAGAAACACTGTTGATACTAGTTCATATATTTGCTCCATGCCATCAGAAACGACCCAACTTCGCCCTCCCCAGCGACTGGCACCAGGAGCACGGCCGTGTCTATGGCGTCATCACGGCCGCAGACGCAGTGCGTGCCTTCTCCGAGCACTTGCGAGGTGCCTCTACCGGTGTTCGCATGGACGGACTGTTTTAGATATGACATGAAAACGAAGAAACTTGATGTTTCAAACATTTGCTCAATATTTGATATGTTGCCATCAAACCCTACCAGATCTCATTTCGGATGCTGAAAAGATCATGGCTCTGCTGGACGCTGGAGATCCCTTTCGGATGAGTGACCAGACAAACAACCCATGCTCCACGGGGCTCATGTGTCCCATGACTGACGGATCGGGCAGGAAACACCAGCACAGTGGCTGGATGGCTGAGAGGTTTGGCCAAGGACTGCTGATGGACAAGATTCGGGCACCATGTCCACCAAAGTCGGTGTGACTTCCTAAAACATGCAACTCTTGTAAGCAAAGAGACATCACAAGGTGAACTGATTTTTTCTGTTGTTTTGTTGCGGGATACGATCAGCTTGCTGTTGAGTTCAAGGCAGCCGGGACCATGATATCGCCAAATTCACACGAAGAATCAATTTATAAACCCAGCATGTCGCATTATACGTTATGTTTAAAGAAGAAGACCTGATCCGTTTTGTTCCTAAGAACAGAAACATGCAACACATCTCCTTCATTCTGGCGAATTCCCTTCACCCAGACTTCGTCCTGTCTTTCTCCGCGCGCCCGCAGGAGCACAGCCGCGCCAGCGTGCGTTCGGACGTGGCCCTGTCCGAGGCCGCGGAGACGATGGCGGAACACGAGGTGCACCACCTCTTAGCCCCTCGGCGCGCGGGGGTCAGAGGGCGACCGGGTGAAGTGCTTTGAATGGGGTCCAGTCAATATGGAGTGTCTGGTGTGTGTTATGAGATATCCAGGTCAATAGGATGGGGAACGTGACGGAAGATGCTCAATGAGATGGGTGAAGCTGCTTTGAAGATTCAGTTTCAACATCTTTCGGTGCACAGCCGGTGCTTGTTCGCAATGAGTGGGCCCTCCAGCTTACCAGATGTTCTTACTAGGAAACACACTGAACTAACTTACCAACTTACTTTGTTGCCAACTGTGTTACCAGATGTTTTTACTTACCAACACTAGGAAGCACTAGCCAAATCCTGCTTTCTGTGAGAGAGTCCTCAGATTCTCTGAGTTTGAGGGAACATTGTGGATGAAGTTGGCCCCACCGAGCGTGGATGTACGCGTTTACATGATCCAAGATGCACAGCAAGTCCTGTCAACATCCTAATGTAAACTGAATTGGAAATCCACATCATATGTGAGGGTTTATCAATCAAGAGTCTACATTGGTGTTCTTCATTTGTCATCGAAGAGGTGCTGAATTGGTCGTGTTGTCCACGCTGAGACCAAGTCATGTAACACTCGGAAGAAGCACGGGTTCATCATCAGACCCACTTCACAGACTTGTTTTGAGGTCCTGGATGCAAACAGTGGTGAGGTGTCAGGCCCGTGCAACTTCGAAAGCACGCATGATGAGATGCAGAAAGCACGCACGTTTTGGTGAGGCCATGCTGAAAGGTCGAAACAACACTGATGATTTTCCCATGTTTAAATTCCATTTCAGCCAAGGGGCCCTCTCACCCCGCCTCAACCGCAAGGCACACCCTGTTAATCCTCCTCTTTCTCATTTCAGAAAACACAAACACCTAGAAGCACTAGAATAGTAGTGCGATGTGCTAAAGACTGTCTGCATACAAAGAAGAGCTTGATAATTGAGGGTGCCACGAGCCGCTGAATGACCGTTGTTATTCTTTGTACAGCCAAAAGTCTTTGTGATTCTTTGTGTCAGCTTACATCGCTTTTACAGAAACAACGTCACCGATGGGCAGGCGTGCTCTCAGCTTTGGATGTGGTGTCGGCTGCCCAGATTCCGATGCTCATTTTGGGTGTGAGGGCGTTGTTCCTCATTAAAAAACTGATGTAAGGTTTTCAAAGGTATCGGCGATGCACCTGGGAGTTGAAGATCAGTCTAGTCTTCTTAAAATACATCATAATACATCTATAAAGGACACAGGTGTGAAAGAGATTTCCCGTACTTTGATATGGGTTGATGCCATATTGATCGTATTGATACTCCGCCAAGTGGGTTTCCCACATTCGGAGAAGCCGTAGATGGATTCGTCCAAAGCACTTCGGAGAATCTGAGATGCCCAGGTGTGCTTTGGGCGCTTCCTACAGGTTTGACTTGTCTTCACCTCGTTTTGTATAGTTCGCTCGTGGCGCGGAGAATTTCTCCGAGCCGCTTGGAATGGGGTGCGCGACGGTTTGGCATTCTGAGGCCAGCATTTGAGGCATTTGTGTGGCATTCGCATGAAATTTGGCGGAGGAATCAATTGGGTGTGTCAGTGTGTGTGTGTGTGTGTGTTCAACCCTGTGGATGAAAGGAAATAGACCAGTCTACCCATTGGTTGCGGATCTCCCTATTAAATTGCAGTCAAAATTCAACAAGTATCCTTTGTAAGTCCTTGCTTTATGGGACCAACTTCTCTCATGGTTAAGGTTGCACAGTTGCCACTCTTGGCCAAGCAGGGTCATGGAATAACAAGCTCAACTACGTTCGATCCCAAGCAGAGCCCTCAAGCCAAACTGACACGTGTACCTGTCCTCGGGCCGCATTTCCTTTTGGCGTCCCGATTTGGGGCAAACCTGTTGAATACATGGCTGCGAGCTCAAACAGTTTGAGTTCTCGCGCCACCGTTTGTCCCGTTCCTAGCTTTCAGCTGTGGGAGAATTTAACCCTTTCCACTGAGACAAAAGCTGGAGACTCAACAAAGCAAACAGGAATGAAGGATGTCAAGAGGAGAGTAACTACTGGTATACGTTTTGAGTCGTTTTGGGTTTCACCAGGTTGATTTGTCCCCTCATCATGTTTTTAAATAACTCCTGGCAATTGTACATCACAGTTGCTTCTGTTCTTCCAAAGGAAAGGTGTTTCCAACTTATGAAGGCTTTTGATTCGCTTTTTGCAAGCTTGAAAATTGCCCGGTCCCCATTGGCCCCCCCAGTCATGGGAGCTTGTGACCACGGTCATCTTTGGTCTGAGATAAGATGCAATAAAGGCTCGACCGTCCGACCTTTATCTCAGTGGAGCAGCTGCGATCAACTGATGATGACCTCTCGGTACCAAACAACATAAAAATCCGCAGCTGGCTGTGGGCGCCGCTTTTCGCGTGCTTGTCGCGTCCCTGCACGGATGATCCGTCCGGGACTGCGCAAGCCCTTCGCCGCGAGTCCTGAGGCTGCTCCGCGAGCCCTGCGATCGGTTGAGGTGTGGTCGTCAGTGATGTTCCGGGCGACCGTCCTGCATGAGGCCGGGATGGGCCGTTTGGGTTGTACAGGCTGAAGGCCTCGGGTCTTTGAATACCATGGAGGCGACACACAGGACCTGCTGACAGCAGATCGCAGAAAATGAAGTGTGGAGGGCGTTGGGGTTTGAAGTCGCGGGTATCACTGTTAGTCACTGGGTTCCTGGAGGTCTTTGAGGCTTAGACAGCCTATCAAAGTCTGACCTCTAAACACAGAGACCGTGGAGAGAAGTACTGCCGCATGCCACACACCAACTGGAACCTGAATGTGCCAAGGAAGCCTGAGAGTACCGGAAATTCAAGATACAGCCCGACCTAAATGTGAGGACCCACAGTGTTTCATCCTTAGCACCCTGGCCACCAGTGGAAGGGACCCGCCATGAAGAGAGTCCGTAGGAGTGTTCGATCGGAATCAAAAGCTCCACAAATATTTGATGCGACATGTTTCTCCAAGATCTGGGTCGTTTGCATGGGTCGCATGATGTCGCATGGGTCGCATGATGTCGCATCATGCGTGACCCGTCGCTTTGCTGCCTCAAAGGCCTGAAGATTAAATCAATGGCCAACGGAAAGGAACCCGAATGCACTGGGTGAATCATTCTCGGGTCATGGCCGGTTTCAGGTTTTGGAAAAAGACACCTTTGCCAGACGAGTGCGTTGTCAGTTTCTATGAATTTAAAACAGGGCATGCAGCATTCATACATGCAATCCTTTTCACGCAACATCACCAACATCATGGGTGCCAGACTGGTGCCCAAACGCTAAGGCCAGCGGCTAGCCCCAACCACCAGCGGCTAGCTCAAAACAAGTCGACAGAAGGCGGAACCAACAGCAAGTCACCACCTTAGTACACACACGCACACATTCTGGAGACATCTCCAACCAGGTCAATTTGACCCCCTGCTTTGCAGGTATTGGCAAGTACACTCTTTCCAAAAGGATCTTGAGAAGGCATGGCTCCAAGATTGTTGCAGAATTCATTTATCATCATGTATTCATATAGATGATTCTCATGATTTCTTTCACCAAATAACCTCAACAAATCATGGGACTCATCTCTATTATTGGTTTAACCCACCCCCTCCATAAACACTTGCAGTGGACCAACTTTTTCGAATACTCCTCCTCACCATGGCCTCCGCGAGCCAAGTGCGCGTGGCGCTGGGCGCGCTAGGCGGAGCCTCCGCGTCCGCGCGTCCGCGGAGGGCGATGGCGGGTGTGTTGGAACGAGCTGCACTGAACGGCTGTGTTTATGTTTAAATGAGAGGATCCCCAGGCCAGATAATATGCTCAGTGTACTGAGGACGTGCTCGCTCTGAGCTTTCTGTTGAAAAGGTGCGAATTGTCTATGCAATTTGAGGTCACTGTGCAGAGCAACAGTGAGTTTTGCTGAAAACTATTTTGTTTGTCGTATATAGTCTTCTAGGTAGCTGGTCTAACAACCCCAGAGAGAAAGAGGTCACTGAACACTGAAGCAGTTCTTTTCCAAGACACGCCTGAAAGGAATCAAAAGACTCGTTTGGTGGCACATGCGCCGTCACACAAAAGACTTGCCCAAGGAGCGTTTCGGGGAAGACCTTATGTCTCATGTTGAAAGCAAGTCAAAGACTCGTGTTTCCATATGTTTCCATATATTATGTATCGCATGTTTTTGTTCAATAAGAAGTCCTATCATCGGAATGACATGACAGGAAAGGGTGTTTGGATCATATCTTGAATGGGGAAGATTGGTCCGACGGAAGATGAACACCACCTCAACATCCATGCCACGAGTCATAACCAAGTTTAATCATGCAGGTGACTTGTGTGATCTTAATCTTGTGCATGTATGTATCCTATAGAAAAGCAGGCTTCCAAAACATCTTCCGTAGCACGCTCACAAGCGCCTACTTAGAAGTCAACTGTGGACTCCATGGACTCGCTGGGGCTCACGGCTTGAGGTTTGGACTTCCACCAAAGATCTGAAACGACTATACCGTAGCGTCCTTGCTCCTAGTAGCGATGCCTGCCTGTGACTATACCCTGAGATCAATCGAATCAGCTTTTTCCTAGGTGCACCTGCCGACCCCCTGGGAGGCAGCCAAGAATAGACTGCCGTAAGCTGCGCCACTAGACCCACTGCCAGACTGCAGGTAGTGGTTGTGCGCTGACCTTCGTCCTCACCCAGCTTCTCTCCTCTCCACCTAAAGCGAAGCGCCTTGGCAAGAGCTCCAGCATTCAAACACACGAAACGCCTTCCACTCTGACTATCTTACGAGAAACTCACGACTAGACTTCCACTCGGCCTGAGCTCACATGCACTGATTTGGGACGTTCAGGATCGATTTATGGGTGTTTGGGTTGGGCAACCAGTTTCACGGCACACCACCGACACCAAAACTACCCGACAGTAATGATTCGACATGGTTCTTTCCCAGACACTCCATGTGAAACCAAGCATCCCAACGTTCGAGTCAGACAGGTTGCCGACCCGTTTCGCTTCGCAGACCCGTCAGGTCGACCGGTCGAACACGGCACGGTTCGAGTCCGAGGCCCTGCCCTTCGGAGAAGGCCCGGAAGGAGACCTTCGACCAGCTGGCTCCGCGGCATCCGATGACGACCGAGGGGTGAAGTCGACGCTCGTTGCGATCGGTGGGGTTTACGGCTATCCCTCGTTGTAAATGATCAAACAAACCGTACCAGAATATCCCAAACATCCAAAAAGAATATGAAAAAAGACCATTCACCCATATGAGCAACCCCTTCTATTAAGGCTTTGCTATAGTAATCTACGGCATGCTCTATTTGCTTGTCTATCATCAGATGCTTGTGAACGAGATAGGGCCCCCACATAAACGAAACGCTTTTGTTTGATGACACTAAAGTAGTCTGAACGAGATAGTGTGATTTGCTACTTTAAAGTAGTCTGAACGAGATACGGTGACATGACCTCCTACTTAAGTAGTCTAAACGAGATAGGGCCCCCACATAATAGATGATAGTGTATTTGAGTTTGGTACCAAATAAATGCCCCGCCGCACATCACTCAGGCTCCCCGTTGGGATGTCCTGGCCCGGCCCCCGGCGTCGATCATGCCGCGGGCAGTGGGGACCAGCTGCACTGTAAAGGGTTGGACAGGACAAGCCTATAGGTCTTTGGACAGGACACCCGTGGCGGAAGCGCTAGGTATTTCGTGTTTGTTTAGGACTTTTGGTAGGAACTGGTCTTGTGTTGTATCTTTTCTGTTCATCTTTGTCCTAGTAAATACTTGGTTCGATTCGTGATCATGTGCCACCTTGATTGGCGGTCCGCGGCGGAGCCTGCGTTTTTCTCTCGAGACCCAACCACCACTGGTATGTCAGGATAAGTTCTTTCTAGCGACAGGACATGACGGCAACCACCACCGTCACCACCGACACCAGCACCAGCACCAGCAACAAGAAGAAAAAGAACACCGCGGACTGCAGCAGCACAACTCCTACCTCTCTCTTCATGTTGAGTTTTGGCGCCTCCATCCGCATCAAGTTTAGGTGCGCTCCGATGAGTTTCTGGCGGGCATCGGCAAGCTGCGGAGGTGTCTTGGTCAAAGTTGACGAACACTCGTTGGTGTGTCCTTTGTCCTTCCTTTTGTGTCTATAGGGGTGCCTATGGCCTGGTCCAAAAGAAGTTCTTTTGTTTTCGCCCTTCATTGGCGCTTCTTTACACAACAAGGTTGTTTTTTCTTTAATTAGAGGGCCGAGGGCCTGGCGGAATGTTGGAGCCTCCATGGTTTTTGTTTGGCTAGCATGTTGTTACAGTTTATTTCTCCGAGCACAGTGTGGATGTGATTCTTTGGATTCGAATCCACGGGACTATCGTGGAAACGAGAACGATGGATGGAGTCCGGCCCCTCACAAGGAAACCGCCTGGCTCGGCTCGGCAGGCGATTGATACAAAAAGCCCGTGGACACCTGGCTGATTGAGCTTGGGTTGGAGAAGCTCACTCGAGATGATGTGGTCCGGCTGGTTAGCAAAAGATCAATGGATAGGATGAGAAGTGAGAAATGAGCGATGAGTCATTAGGATTTAGATCCTTTGCTCATGTCAGGATGAGCATCCCCAAAGGATTGAATTCATAGTGAGTGATCAAATCTTAGGGCTGAGTGTTCATACCAACTGTTCCATCAACAAAACACGGAGACTATGACCTGGTGGTTCCAGCGGAAGTGTCGTGCTACTTCACAAGAATTAGTATTTCAATGCATTTAAGCAATATGAAATGAATACTCTCAGCCTTTTAAGGGTCGTTGGTAGCCCGTTTGTCACTACTCGAGTGCAGGTCGTATAATAGAGATCCAAAAAGCCGGCACCCCTGCACAAACTCTGAAAGATGCCGCAGAATGAGCAGCTCATTCAGTGCATCTTTGGGATGTTTTACCAAAAGCTCTTGAACCAAGATTCCAGCTTTCAGAGACCTGAAAAAGGACCTTTTTCAGAATAGCGCTGCGCCGTCGTGCAACATATGCGCGCAGCGCACCTCTGTTTGTTTTTTTTGCGAGCCGAGACGCGACGTCCGTGCGGCGAACCGAAGTCAGGAGATGTCTTAGAAGTGGCTGTCGGCAGTGGCCGGAACTTCTCGTGCCCATCTGATGAGGACGTCGACACGGCCGTCGACGGTGTCGACGTCGCGGCCTGGAGTCTGGAGAAAAGAGATCGGTGTTTTCCTGGAGAATGTGCACGGTGACTCAATAACAGAGGACAGAATCATACCAATATATGATAATATTTTGTGTATATATAATACCTTAAACCATCTATATGCAGACCATCATGGGTATAGTGGGGGGGGCTGAACCACTGTCCCTTCTTTTGCAATAACATATCGAAACAACTACCTTTTGAGACCTGGCCAAGATCACCTCGCTTGGAACTGAGCGCGGAACCCCCCAAATGAGCAGCCAGGTACTACAACACCGGGCGTGTCACAGAGATCACCGCCGTGGACTTCAGCCGCGCCATGTTGGAGGAACGGGTTGACCGGGCCCACGAATGGATCAGTGGGTCAACGAGTCCCTAACAAGCCATGCTGGTGGCCATGGTTGTCGAATTTAGCCTATGCTATAGCGCTTAAACGATCTTAAACGCTTGAAATAGGCAGCCAATAGGAACGGTATATTGAATTGATACTGATACAATGGCGTATATAATGATTGTGTTTATAGCGCTTAACCGCTTGAAATAGCAGCCAAGAAGAATTGTGTATTGAATTGAATTATATAAATTGGTTTTGTTTGTTCAGAGTGATTTCTTATACCTGGAACTTCCCGATTGATTTGCCCACTCTACCCATCACTACTCCCGCTTATTTACCGTAAGGGAAATCCCCGCTGCAGGTGGCTGATGAGAAGCGGAAAGAAGTGGAGGCTTCGATGGCTGATTCGATGCCAAAGTCTTTTCCCAGTTGGTCTGAGGTTGGTCAGGATGTTGGCAGGATGTTGCTTGCTCAACCTGTGGCCCAACCCGTTCAAATTCGGAACTCCAGAACATCCGAAGTGAACGAAGAAACACCTCAAGATGGTCGGCCTTTGGGCCCAACCAATTCCAAGAACTCCGACGTCTAGAGATACACTTGTGAATTCAACTCAAGATCCCAAGCCGGTCCATGTTTTCGTCCTGGCCGAATTCGGCGGCTGCAAGGCTGTTCCAATAAAAAGGCTATTCATCAAACGGCTGTTCATCAAAAGAGGTCCTCAAATTGGATTGATGTCCAGATTTTCCAGATGTCCAAAGCTGTTCAAACGTGGCATTGATCAGCATTCCATCCTGTCACCCTACGGGGGGGGGTCCCCAGGGTCAGGCATGCCCCGCCCGGCCATTCTCTCTCCCTCCCAGCCCCGTTTGCGCAGCCGGTGCCCTTGCGCTTGAAGTTGGCCAGCACGCACCGCTTGGACTTCGAGGCGCGGGAAGAAGTGGTGATTTCATGGTGGAGAAAGAACATCTGATAAGAAAAGGCATACTAAGAGGCACGAACGTCCCGTATATAGAGACACATCCAAGGTTGTTCTGGTCATCTTAACTCAACCTGACAGTTTTGCCTAGGAAACAAACACATCTAACAATCTAACAAGCTTAAGTTGATGAGACAACTTTGGACAAACTTGATATGTTTTAGCCTTCCAGTACTAAACAGGTAGGGCCAGGCCGATGTGCCAATGTCTAGCCTTTTTGAGTAGGTTCCCACGCTTTGACCATGCATCTTTGGCAGTAGCAGTCAGTCTGGCCTTTTGGGTTGGCTGGCCACTGGTTGTTCCACCCAAGTTGCGATGTTCCAGTTGATCTATGATCCTGGACATCCTGACTGTCAGATTGATGGAACCGAACTAAGAACCACTTGCCCATTTGAGGGGGGACTGTTATGCCTTCGTGTGCAAAGCTCTACCAAAAACACAGATCAACGATTCCTTTGATGGACACAGAGCTATAATCAAGAGTTCGTGGTGTTGCAATCTGGGTTTCGTGAGAATACCAACTCCCACTTTAGCATTCATTCTAGAAACTATTTTTTCTCTACCACATCGAAACAATGAAGAGTACCAAACATGGTCCTTTTATGTCTTGCGGTTTAGGCCGAGATGTTTGCCATCAAGTCTTCTTCCGTCCCGTCTTGAGCAGTACGTTACGTCCGGTGTGCCGAGGAGAGAAGGCTTCTCGCGCAGTGTCCCCCGACTCTCTGCTCTTCTCCTGTGAGGACAGCTCCTTCGACACCGTGGTGGATACCTTTGGCATTTGCTCGTTTGAGCAACCGGTGCAGGCGCCCTCACCACCGCACCCCGTTTGGTTGATGGATCAGCTTAGGTTTGAGGACTGGGCTGTTTTGTTGGCTAAGTGGAGAACACGAACCGTGGCCTCTGCACAACCCACAAAGACACCAGACCCAGACAGTACATCAGACATGTCTTTCTTCTTTCGCCGTGTTTTAAGTTGTTTCACCTCTCTTCCCTCGCATGAGACGTGCCCCAGGCGTTGCAAGAGATGCGCCGGGTGCTCAAAGACGATGGCCAGGTGCCGGGAAAAATCCGAATGGATTTCGCGGAGTTCGGAGGTCTAAAGCTGTTGGATTGGATGGAGCGCCCAAAAGCCTTGAAGTGCCTTTGACAGCCATATACATACTCGGATGATCTGGGAATCTATTTGGGGGGCGGATGATGTGGGAATCTAACTATTTGGGGGAGGCTTTTGCAGCTGCTTTGAGAGAATCTGGGAACATACTTGAGGGTCCATGTTTCTACATACTTGAGTCGGATATAGCCTCTTTGATCCTTTTTGGTGACCTAGACCTGGGTGTTGAAACTCAAAACCCGGAGATCACTCAAAACCGACACCCATCATCTTGAACTGCATTTGTCACATGCCACGTCTACAGCACATTTGAGATACCACCCCAGAATTTGAGGTACCGCACCTGCAACGTGTGAGACATTGCCAATCAGCAGCATGTGTCACAAGATGTCACAAGCCTTGTTTTTTTCCACTCCACTGAAAGTATTGTGGCACTCTGCACCCAATTGTCCAGTTCCCTCACTTCATGAAAGTCAGAGAACCAAAACATCCAGTGCCTACCAGGCGCTCCTCCTCCGCTGCCCTCCAAACAGGTCTTCCCCCGCTCGGCCGTTCCTTGGCCGATCGAGCGCTGCGTCAGATGCTTCTGCTGGAGCATGGCGCGTCCAAATGGTCGGGCGCCCACGGTACCACGGCGCGGGGGTTTTCCAGGCGGGGCGAAGGTCCATGTCACTGAGCTTGAAGCCTAGCTGGCACAGCTACTGATGGTTTTCGTGGTTTACTGACAGGTGTGGAGTAGAGGTCTGACTGGGGGGGGAATCCTTTTCTGAAAGGCTATTCGTATTAGATAGTGTTCAAAAAACTCCCGTGTTTTCTCAGGACAAGCCGCGGATCACGTGCCTGATCCATCAAGAGAACAAAATACGACCGTTAAACAAAGCCTATATCAGCATCAGCATATCATATTGCTACAACCCTGCCTTTCTCAGGACAGCACCGCGCCGGGAATCCTCTGGGCTCAAGAGAAAAAAAATATGTGAATATATATGAATGCTGAATGCTGTAAATAGAGGCCGACCTCCCTGGGCTCCTTCTTAGCCTTCACACATTTTTCATCGGAGGCTGACAGCAGATCAGCCGAGCAGACGAGATGGGTTGAAATATAGAGACCGGTCCGGGTAGCGGATACCAAGCGGCGTTCAGGTTTTTGGCGATGGATTCCTTCTCCGGAATGAGAATTGGAGCATCAACATGCATCAACAGAACATCGTAGATGCTGCTCAGTGTGCAGATCAAAGACGAAAGCACAGCATCGGATGCCTGGGGGTGGGGTGGAACCACCGCAGATGGCATGGAAACGCCGATCGCAGAGGCATGGGAGTGGGGGGAAGGTGGTCGACATCTTGAGGGATCTCTGATAGGAGTGCTGTCTCTGATGGCTCCCCCCACGGACGCGATGTCGGCCGAGGACTTCCACTGTGGAATGTGTGAAAAATTTCGGCACAAGGGCATGCAGTGGTTTGGTTTGGTATGTGGAATCCTGTAGGAGACAACATCAGAACTAGAGAACTCAATCAATCCAAGGTCTACCCGTTGGCTTTGGGAGTTCTGGCAGCATGTCCATGAGGGGAGTATAAGTCTCCAGGAGTTTAAAGGAAATTTCAAGGCTGTACTTGCGCGCCACTAGCTGTGCAGGCAGCCCTCATTGGTGCCATACCGAGGTTCCCACCATTCTTCTGCCAGGCTTCCTGCTGCTGCTTGCCCTTCCGGGGAGGCTCCGCACGCTGTGTGTTTTCGTGGCCAGATCGCTAATAGTTGGTCCACCCGGACTAGACTGACTACACACGAGCGGGTCCTGGGTTTGGAAGGCGCAGGTCACCGGCTCCAGTACTCCCCACAAAACACGGGTTTGGGACTCCAGGTCCGAGCGATTCGGAAGGCATCGGAAGGCATAGGTTTTCTTTGAAGTCCGGGGCATTCCGATTGAGCGAGGTCATGGGTTGAACGATCGAGTTGAGACGATCGGATTCACCACCCCGAGACGATGTTCATTCCAACGAAGCCCGTTGTGGAAGCCACAGCACCTCTGACAGTTGTTTTTGCAGATCAAGTGTCAAACCATGGCCCCAAATGGACATTTCTCAAAGAAGCACCACTAAAGCTGATGGTCGCAGCTGAATTGGTTGTGGATGCCCTAGGCCCTATAGACACAAATCAGCAAGGAAGGCCTCCAGTGGAAAGAAACCCGAGGGAAATAGGACCCAATATTGCCCATGCAATAAACTATGACCTGGCTCTTCGTGCCTAATTCCAGCTCACCCTAACTCCGCGTGCCGCTCGAGCATTGACGGTTTTAGAGGATCAATAGACCCTTTAGAAAATCACCGGGGGGGCTCGGTTCACAGTTGTTTTGCTTATGATATAGACTCCACACTAAGTTTCATGAGGGTGTGTCAGAGGAGAATGTATTTGTGTACCTGTCATGTTCAATGGCATATTTCAAGAAAAGTCCGCATGTTTCCAACTGAGCAGCTGTGGTGCCTAAGGCTCAACGAACATGCACCTAAATGTATAACACACATGGTGTTTTGGGGTCATGAAAACCCTGAAACCCCTGAAGTAATTGGAGATCATCGTGTAATTAGAGATCATGATTTGCATGTTACAACATGTTACAACGATCCAACTTGCAAGCAAACCCAAGGATGGTCATGGGGAATGCATTTGGGCGGTCATGTCAAGCATTGGATACAAAGCAAGGCACCAACAAACCTCCGTGCCTTCCCCGGAGTTCCTTGCTTAATCTATTCATGACTTTCAATACCAGCGTTTGGCTTTCCGACATCCAAGCCTTCGTTGTGATTGACTCGAGCTTTGTCCAAAAAGCACAGTCAGTTGGAACATGTTGTTCCAAGCGTCGGCGAGTCAAGAGAGCAGAAAGCCAGCAGAAGCTGGAGCGGTCACAGGAGCTGGAGCGGTCACGGTCTGGTGTAATAAGACGAAGTTGGATGCAGAAAACGATTCGAGATGAGAGTCATCTCGAGATCCTGGGGACAATTGGACTTTTCTTGGGTGCTGCGGTCTCCTGTGTGTTACCGAGTGTACTCACAATCTAAATGCCACTAGTAGTGGAGCAAGTGTCACACCCAGGCGGAAACCCAGCATCAGTCAGGGTTTGGGTTTGGGGAGGTTCTCTATTCGTTCTGTGTGATTGATATCACGACACCGCTTGGGCCAAGTGGATGAATTCGCCCATCAAGAGGAGCTTCTGAACGTTTGGTAGAGTTGATCCATCAAACTCAGGTCATGATCCAGGCGTAGTTCTTTGCTTGCCTTGCTGGCAGGACCCACTAGCCCAAAACTGGATGTCAACTCGCAGTGGCATGCCTCCCAAGTGCGGTTGTGCAAACTGTGCGGAAGACGGAGCGCGTCACATGGGCTTTAGGTCAACTACAACCATCATGCGATCGGCATCACATCGACGTCCAAGAGTTTTGTGAGAGCTGCTCCTGTCTATCGGCGCCGTCCGTTGGCTGGTTTGATCGCTGCACCTCGATGCGATGTGCGCATGGCCATCAGCTGAGTTCAAAGGTGTTTGTGTGTGTCTCCGATTTCTGTCAGGCCGTCGACCCTTGCCATGGCCTGATGACCTGTGTGAGGCCGTTGGTGACGTTGCCACAGTTTTTGTTGCCTAGGAGTTGGTGTTGGGCCCTAAGTTCCAGTTCTCTATTGAAAGGTTTCACTTGGTGGCCAGGTCGTTGAGTGAAGCAGGGAAATCACACAGCAGATGAAAGATTGACCATTGGCTTCTCTTACAGATGGAGATGTGGGTGCAGCCAGTCACGGCTCTGCAAGTCACAACTCTGGTTGGACGGGTTTTTTGAATGTTCATTTTCGCAGCGCCTGTGCGCTGTACTGGGTTCGTCCACACAAACAATAAACTTAGAGGTGAGAACATGGCCCGTGAGCGTGGCGCAAGTTCACGGAACATGCCAGGAGAAGCTCGAGCGTGCAGCGCTGCGCGCGACCAGGTTTTTGTGTCCGGGCGCCGAAGGGGGCCCAACATGTGCAGTGCGTCAGGGTGTCAGAAGGTTAGCTGAAAGATGTTGACATGCATGTGGTGTCCTCAATCGATCGTCACGTTTTTTACAAGGCATCCAAATCCAGAGTTCGTCACCAGGATGGATCAAAACAGGAGGTTTCCTTTGGTGGCCAAAATCTTTGCTGCCAAGCCTGTTCAAAGAAGCAACCACATTGATCAAAGGCGCACAAAACAACAGTTGCATTTCAAGTATTTGTTTCCCCTCACACCATGGCACATGCCTGTGCATTCATTCTGAAACTCTACGGAATGGTTTCCAACTTGCTGAAACAATTATGTCTAACAGTAAATGCTTTGTTGATCCCAAAAGATCCATCTATGTAGTCACGAAAGGTAGCTTGAGTTACCTGAGTTCTCCTTGCTTTAGCAAAATGTATTACAATCAGGAGTTGGGATTGTGCAATGTAGTCATATTGTTGTTTTACATATCATTGACCCGCAGACCAAGTCCAATTTCCACACGCTTGAAAACATGTCGCTTCTACCCTCGAGCAGCCAAAAATAGAGCTCCTGTATCCCAAATGTTTCTCGAAGTTGCTTACATCAAAACTGTTGCTTCGGGGATTCGAAGCGAAGCGACCTTCGTGTTCTTAGGGCATGTCTGGGGCATGTCTAAGGCCGTGAAAGATTGGAGGTTGGCGCGGGCACCGAGGCAGTGAAAACCAAAACCGAAAGCCCCAGCACCATTGCTTCGTGATGATCGTGATTGCGGCAAGAAACACAGCAACAACCTTCTCCATCGGTAAGACGCTGCTGATGGTTTTGAAGATCCTAGTCATTGACGACCCCCTTTCTCCAAAACTTGGAAATGGCTTTCAAAGAGGACACTAAGTAGTGCGAGTACGGCCAACCCGGTTATGTTCCAGTTCAGTGTTGGCTTACGGGAATTAAGCCATTTTCCTGTGTGTGTTTAGTATGTTCATGGAAACTGCACGCTGGATACAAACCACCACCGTTTTTTCCTATGGATTCCATCGTTTGTCGACATCCCCAAGAATCCCAAGTACTTATATATAATATATATATTAATACGTATATATCACTGCACTATGAACATCCATGATCCTCCCTCTACCATCCTCGGTTCCGCTCTTCTTCGGCCCCTTCGGTCCTGTGGCGGTGAGGTTTGATGTCGCCGGACACCTTTCAGTTCAGCATCCTCGATGGCATTCCGCGAAGTCTCAAAAACGAGGCACGGAGGATGGCAGAAACCCACCTGGCAAGGCTGAAGAGCACACAGTTTTTAGCCCAAAGTTTTTGAGCGTTTACCGGGATGTTCATGGATTCGATGATACTTTGATTACAGCTAGTCTTTCGAGCGGAGACGTGTGTTGCGCTGTCATGTTTCTGAAACATAAGGATTGATCAAACTACAAGCTGACAGAACACCCAGCAGAATCAGTAGAAAGACTGCGGCCGAATGAGTTCTCAGTTCCTCCAATAGTTGCATTTCTTGAAATAGTGCTGTCATTGAAATGTTGGAAAGGTTTTAATTTAAATAGATGGGATGTGTCATTTTTCCCCACCTGTCAGGTGAGGGTTGTCAGCTGCTTTCCGCCTCCCCGCCGCC